GGCAGCTGAATCTATCTTCAGTGGAAGTGGGATATTGTTCACCACCGCACCTGAGCTAGGCACTGACCTCAAAAGTATGAACAGTATCTTAAAACATATTATGAAGAAATGAAGGTAAAGGTAGAAGGGTTATGTTTTATTTTAACCACTTGAGAATCTGATGGATTCACAGCAGAAGAAAACATATAAGTTTAACTTGCAGAGATTATATAATTTTAGAAAATTGATATGGGCTTCTAGAATTACTGCAAGTTCTGTACTGATTGATTAGAATAAGATTCATTAGAATATATGACATGAAATATAGGCAGGGACAAAAATAGCTTCTTAGAGTTAGGAATTTACCTAGTGGATTTTTTAAAAAATGAACACTTAACTTTTCAACATGCCAGATAAATTTGGTTGGATGCTCCTATCAGTTTCAAAATCAGTTTGACAGTTTTGGAGTGGGTGGGGAATGGACATGGTGAGTGGAAGAATGACTAAAAACTTCCTTGGGTTTGCAGTCACTTGATCTTGGCCAGCAGTTTTATATTTTTTAATGTATGTTTCTGATGTTATGATATTTTATTGCATTTTATTGTCTGTTTTATGGATTGTTATAAACTGCACAGATACATGTACAGGATGTAATTCCTTGCTGCCCTGCCCTTCACATCTGGAATGTTTAAAATATATTGTCTGTTTCTCTGTCTTTCTTTCAAATCTTTTTATTTATGTTCAGAAAGTACAATGACAGGAAGAAAGTATACAGTTTTCTATGGCTGTAAAAGGGAGTACAAGTAACACAATTCTGACAGAACACGATTGTATTCTTCATCTTGCTGGAACATGTAACATAAGCACAACAATGGAGCCAAAAGGACTGGCTCTATAATTTCTGCCAAAAACACTGCAGATTCTTTCATATCGATGACATTTGAATGCTACTGTCAAGCAGTTTTTGTTGGGCTGGGATGGATGTCTTCATAATACATCTCTCTGCCATGAATTATTGCACTATCGCCAAATCTGAAAGACAGGAATAAATAGCTTTCAATCGGTAACTAGGAAAACATTAAAAAATATAATCTGGCTTTGATTGTATGATTTTTAGCTAAATGGTACTGTATTTGTAAACAACCCAGAGAGTTTTGGCTATGGGAAGTATAGAAATGATGGTGATGATGGTGATAATTTTATATGCATAAATACACAGAACATTTTATCTCTGTTTCTGCAGAATTAGGTTTGTGCAGGAATTCTTAACTGGTTTGCAGGATTATTGTCAGAATAATACAAGAACTTCACATGTATGATGCCACAATGACAGAGCAATAACCATGTATAGCTATACTCATGCTCAGGCAGAGAAGTCAGGAAGCTATGGCTTGTATTGACCAGTTATCATACACTTCTTTAAGTATCCTTCCCTGTTGGAGAGAGGTCAGAACAATGACATATAGCGCAATCCTAACTAGCATAGAATCTACACATGAGTGCAGTTGGGAAGTGTATACAGGCATGCAGCCTTAAGTCTGGAAGCCTTCATAGTCAATAAAACAGTAGGAAAAGCAGTACTAGATCCAATCTCCAAAATGGAAGAATGAGCTCAGTTCAGATCCAAGGCAAACTATTCAGCATCACAGTAGTCCAAGTCTATGCCCCAACCACTGGTGCTGAAGAGGCTGAAGCTGACCATTCTATAAAGGCCTACAACACCTTCTAGAATTAACATCAAAAAATGATGTCCTTATCATCATGGGGGATTGGAATGCTGAAGCAGGAAGCCAAAAGATAACCGGAATAACAGGCAGGTTTGGCCTTGGAGTACAAAATGAAGCAGGGCACAGGCTGGCAGAATTTTGTCAAGAGAACACACTGGTCATAGCAAACACTCTTTTCCAACTACCCAAGAGACAACTCTACCCATGTCCATCACCAGACGGTCAGCACAGAAATCAGATTGACTATGCGCTCTGCAGCCAAAGATGGAGAAGCTCTATACAGTAAAAACTAGACCAGGAGCTGACTGTGGCTCAGATCATGAGCTTCTGGTTGCAAAATTTAGGCTTAAATTGAAGAAAGTAGGGAAAAGCAGTAGGCCACTCAGGTATGACCTAAATCATATTCCTGATGAATATACAATAGAGGTGACAAATAGATTTAAGGAATTAGATCTGATAGACAGAGTGCCTGAAGAACTATGGACGGAGGTTCACAACATTGTACAAGAGGTAGCAACTAAAACCATCCCAAAGAAAAAGAAATGCAAGAAAGCAAAATGGCTGTCTGAGGAAGCTTTACAAATAGCTGAGGAAAGAAGGGAAGCGAAAGGCAAGGGAGAAAGGGAGATACACCCAAGTGAATGCAGAATTCCAGAGAACAGCTAGAAAAGAATGCCTTCTTAAATAGTGTAAAGAAATAGAAGAAAACAATAGAATAGGGAAGACTAGAGATCTCTTCAAGAAAATTGGAGATATGAAGGGAATGTTTCATGCAAAGATGGGCATGATAAAGGACAAAAATGGCAGGGACCTAACAGAGGCAGAAGAGATTAAAAAGAGGTGGCAAGATTACAGAAGAACTATACAAGAAAGATCTTAACATCCCTGATAACCACAATGGGGTGGTCACTGACCTCGAGCCAGACATCTTGGAATGTGAAGTCAAATGGGCCTTAGGAAGTCTGAGCAACAACAAAGCTAGTGGAGGCGACAGTATTCCAGCTGAGCTATTCAAAATCCTAAAAGACGATGCAGTTAAAATGCTACACTCAATATGCCAGCAAATTTGAAAAACTCAGCAGTGGCCACAGGATTGGAACAGGTCAGTTTACATTCTGATCCCAAAGAAGGGCAATGCCAAAGAATGTTCAAACTACCGCACCATTGCACTCATTTCACATGCTAGCAAAGTTATGCTCCAAATCCTACAAACTAGGCTCCAGCAGTATGTGGACTGAGAACTACCAGAAGTGCAGGCAGGGTTTTGAAGAGGCAGAGGAACTAGAGATCAAATTGCCAACATACGCTGGATTATGGAGAAAGCTAGGGAGTTCCAGAAAAACATCTACTTCTGCTTCACTTACTATGCTAAAGCCTTTGATTGTGTAGATCACAACAAATTGTGGCAAGTTCTTAAAGAGATGTGAGTACCAGACCATCTTATTTGTCTCTTGAGAAACTGTATGTGGGTCAAGAAGCAACAGTGAGAACTGGACACAGAACCACTGACTGGTTCAAAATTGGGAAAGGAATATGACAAGGCTGTATATTGTCCCCCTGCTTATTTAAATTATATGCAGAGCACATCATGCGAAAGGTGGGGCTGGATGAATCATCAGTTGGAATTAAGATTGCCAGGAGAAATATCAATAATCTCAGATATGCAGATGATACCACTCTAATGGCAGAAAGTGAAGAGGAACTAAAGAGCCTCTTGATGTGGGTGAAAGAGGAGAGTGCAAAAGTTGGCTTGAAACTCAACATTAAGAAAACTAAGATCATGGCTTCTGTTCCTCTCACTTCCTGGCAAATAGATGGTGAAGAAATGGAGGTAGTGACAGATTTTATTTTTTGGGGGTCCAAGATCACCGCAGATAGTGGTTGCAGCCAAGAAATTAAAAGACGCTTGCTCTTTGGGAGGAAAGCTATGGCAAATCTTGACAGCATACTAAAAAGCAGAAACATCACCCTGCTGACAAAAGTGCGTATAGTCAAGGCTGTGGTTTTCCCAGTTGCAATGTATGGCTGTGAAAGTTGGACTATAAGGAAGGCTGAGTGCCGAAGAATTGAGGCCTTTGAATTGTGGTGCTGGAGAAGGCTCCTGTGAGTCCCATGGACTGCAAGGAGATCAAACCAGTGAGTCTTAGAGGAGATCAACCCTGACTGCTCTTTAGAAGGCCAGATCCTGAAGATGAATCTCAAATACTCTGGCCACCTAATGAGAAGGAAGGACTCGATGGAGAAGAGCCTAATGCTGGGAACAATTGATGGCAAAAGGGGACAGCAGAGAATGAGGTTGCTAAGTGGAGTCACTGAAGCAGTTAGTGTGAGCTTAGGTGAACTTCAGGGGATGGTAGAGGACAGAGCATGGAGGAATGTTGTCCATGGGGTAGCGATGGGTAGGATGCAACTTTGCTAAACAACAACAGCAAATCGAAGTATGCAACCTCTTCAGCCTCCAGGGCTGCACTGGGTATTAGCCAGCTTGACAGAAGGTGTATGCGTGCGCACGCACACACACGCACGCAAGTTCATCCTCATCCCCACTCTGTGTACAGGGCACATACTTCCCCTAACACACACAAACACACATGCAAGGTTTTTCTTGCTCACAATAGCAATTCGATCTCTTCTGAGACCAGAGAGGTAAAGATGTTGAGATGCGTGCTCAGTGGTGATCTTCACAGGGCAAACAGGTATAGCATATCCCATAAACCCAAGCGCCCCTGTCATCATTGACCACCCGTTTGAAGGTCTGCTTCGGCCTGACTTGGTTTGGAACCAGATCAATTACTTATGTGGATCCCCAAAGCTATAGTTGTGGCTGTAAATTCAAACATTATTGTGTTGGCTGGAAAAGATAGTCCTTAAAATTTATGTTTCCCACTCGCTTTCAGCAGTGAGTCTTATCAAAAGTCCTAGCAACTTTTAAATGCCAATTTTCGAGCAGGGCCATTATATCATTAATCGACAAGAGGACAGGAGTTCTTGACTCGTCATGGGGTGTTTTGCAATTAACACGGCAGGGAGGCCGTGCGCCAAGAATAGGCAGGCGGCGGTGGAGGAGCGCTATTGTGGGCATTGCCCGGAACTAAGATGGTTGCCGTAGAGTCGAGGCACTTCTGGACGGGTCACCTGTTGAAGAGGGAGACGAGGAACGTGATTGGCTGGGGTCCGGCTCTCCGCCGTCACCCATCGCGCCCCAGGCGCGAAAGGAAAGAGTTAACGCCGTGGAGGCTGAGTGTCGCTTCCTCGCTCAGCTCGGCCTCTGCCGAGCCAGGGCCAGCCGGGCCCTTTGCTCCCGCCCCCGGCTCCTCCCAGCAGCTCGGCATGGAGGACCGGGGGGGCGGCTGGAGGGACCTGGAGAAGCTGTTCGAAGAAGACGACGGAGGAGAGGCGGCGGAAGAGGCAGGGGAGGCGGCGGCCGTTGCAGTTCCGAAGCCTGGAGCCGGCGAAGAGGCTGAGCGGGAACAAGGCGCGGAGGGGCCTCCCGAGTTGGAGTCGGAGTGGAGCTTCGTGGACATGGAGACGGTATCGCTGAGCGATCTGCCCAGCGGGCTCATCGCCTGCAACCTGCCTTTGGCTGTCTTCTTCGCGGATGGGCCGTGCAGGGTGGGTGAACTGACGGGCCGCCAGCGGGGCGGGACGAGACGAGGGGGAAGAGCGCTGCCTGCCTGCCTGCCTGCCTGCCTGCCTCTTTTCTCGGCCGAAGGCGTCGGGCGGCCCGCTTGGGGTGCCGGCTGGGGAGGGAGAGCGGGATAACCGGTCAGCCGGCGCCGAGCGATGGGGCGACACCGAGCAAAGGCCCGGAGAAGTCAGGCCCCGCCCGCCCGCTCTCCTTCGGCCAGGCATGGCAGAGCTTAACCGTGTTTGCCTCCCATGGAGACCTCGCCAAAGCTGCTGTCACAGTAGATCTGCCGGGAGTCCTGTGGACTAGCGGCGTAGCGTTGCGAAATTATGGGGCTGTTGCTGTCCCGTGCGGCCACCGGTATTGTGTAAGGAGGCGCGCGCTCCCTTTTAAGGACGATTTCTTTAGGATCAAAAGTATGCGAAAGACAGCCAGATACTCAATGTGCGCTTCCAGAAAGGCCAAATCAACAGACTTGCTATCGATAGGATCTGTCTGGGTAGCAATGGGCCATGCCTCTTGACTGGTTGGATGGTGTAGTGGATTCAGGGCAAAAGACTCTTCCTTACCCTTCGTGGAATGAGGCTGTGATCTTTCAAATAAGATAGCTGGTCAAGACTGCACCTACATGACCCCATAATCATTCCTATCAGCCAAATGGACTGATCATCGTCTGGTCAGACTGAAAATTCATCCATGTTTGTACTGTAAGGCAGCCTTGCCCGACCTGGTGTCCTTCCCCCCAGTTTTCAATTTCAGCACCCACTGGCTTCAGCCAGGAGTTGGGGATGCTGGAACTGAAGACCAAAGTATCTGAGGCACACCCAGTTGGGGGAGGCTGTTGTTCAGATGAGATGTGCTCCCTGCAAGAGTGCATCTGGTCTCCTTAAGTACAGTATGTCTGTTCCTGTGTGTGTGTGGGCTGGATCTTCTGTGCCCCAGCCCTAAATTGTACTGACCTGGTGTACAAATTTGCCATCACTTGTGTGGGACAGTTCTGAGTCATTTTTATTACAAAGGCTGTGTGTATTCAGTGCAAAAAACACCACTGCCATCTTTTAGGCAAACCAGGAAAGTCTGAACTGTGTGCAGAGGAGCTATCACACAATTAGGAGTAGCTGCAACCCAGTGAGCCAATGTGCTCTAGGGAGTGGAGTGTGTGACTGGGACCTGGGCAATCCAGGTTCTAGTCTCTGCTCAGCCATGAAGCTCCCTGGCTGACTTCGGACTGGTCAGATTCTCAGCCTAACCTACCGCATAGTGATGTTGTTAGAGGAAACCCTGTAAGCTGCCTTGAGTTCCTCCCAGGAGCAAGAAAGGTGGGATATTAATGTAACGCAATAGCAACAATAAATAATAATAACCTCAGGCAGAAATACTGCATTATGTTGCTGCTGCTGTTTTCAGTCCCAGCAGCAGCAGCATAATGGTCCCAGACAGGTGCATTTTAGTGGTACTGCTATGAAGTGCTTCTGTGTGGGACTAGCAGGCATTCTCTTTTTTTAATCCCAGGGAATATCTGTGGTTAGTGAGAAAAAATAGCCAGACGAGATTATATGCTGCAGGAAAAGGGAATGAATAGCCCTTCAGATCTCATTTGACAGCAGCTTCCATCATCCATCACTATTAGATATGGTGGCAAGGGCTGATGGAAGTTGCAGTTTAATAAAACATATTGGAGAGCCATCAGTTTTCCATCCCTGGTATATCTGTTCCTGGGGTTCCCCTTTGGTAGGTTTTTCTGTCATACCTGAGTAGGTAGACGTTTCTTCCTTTTTGCTGCCCTCTTGGTGAGTAGAGGACCAGTCGCTTTCTTATTCATTTATTTTTATTTCTAAAACTTGCATCCTGTACATTTAGTGTCAATAGCCAGGGTGGCTATTGCAGAGCATGTTTGTAGACTTTGGTCATTGTTCATGATCCAGGTACAGTGCATAACTAAGTGTGATTATTTAGAACAGGGGTCCTCAAACTTTTTGACCAGGGGGCCAGTTGAAGGCTGCCGGTGCTGGGCATGGGCCGGAAAGGTGGTGCCTGGTCGTGCACGTGGGTTGGCGAGCTGGCGGGGGCAGCGCGTGCGGGCGTGCATGCTGAGGCGGGGCAGGGTGCATGGCGAGGGGAGGCAAGGTGAGGCAGGGGCGGGCACGCGCCGCGAGGCAGGTGCACAAGGCAGCAGCTTGCTTGCTTGGAGATCGTTTTCTCTGAGCGAGCAAACCGCTGCCTCCTATGTGCAGGGGAGGTGGGCAGCAGCTGGTGCGTGCGTGGGCATGTACGCGGCGTGTCCGAATGGGCATCGCAGGCCAGATCTGGCCCCAGGCTGTAGTTTGAGGACCCATGATTTAGAGGGTAGCTGCATTGATTTCACTGGAACTTACAGGTAAGTGTGAGTATCCACCATGTGACTTACATGTCATTGTTTGCAAATAGATCAAAAGTGCTGGCAAATGAAATGACAATTTGTCATGTCACATTTGAAAGATACATATCAGCTTTAACATCTACAGGATCCAAGGAAATAAACTGTAGCTATGGCCAGCGTGGGCTTTGACATGCACACTGATAGTGCTAATATGTATATTAATAATAACAAATATTGGGGTGAGAAGAGAGAAATGAAAGGCACCTGCAGTCAGATGCTTCACAGATACAAGAATCATGCAGCTGCACTTCATTTCTTCTCTTCCTGACCCCCATCAATGAAAACTGTTCCAGAATACCTACATATTTATGATGCAGTAGAAGGAAAGGTAATATTTCTAGCCATAAGATTTGTGCCTATAAGATCTAGACTTAGAATTCTTGTAAATACATTTAAAAGTTGCCAAAAATGTAGGTCTATTTGACACTTTATTAGGCTTTTTAGATACACTTCAGAAACTCAAGACATGTTTTCATACAAGGTTGTACTATATAATTTTTGCTGTATATCCTGTGGCCAAGCTAGACCCTGAGGAGACAGCATCTACTTGAATGGCCTTTTCTTGTCACTGTCTCTCAGAAGCCATTTATACAAGAAAGTTTCACTGGGTTCAGAGGGAAGTACGCCTAGGTTTGCAGCTGAACAGAACAATCCTAAGTCTCACATGCACTGGCTAGAACAGGGTAGGATGCAGTAATGGTGCCATTCTGCTGCGGGTAGAGACAGATCTGTGTCTCAGAAACCCCATTAACATCTGTGGAATGCTTTGTGGTGTAGATCTATGCTAGCAGTTCTTCCACTGCTCATGGGATTCCAAAATGTAGCATTCTGGCTGCACCTTGGAAGCAGGCTTGTATTCATGGGATCAAAAACCTTTTTGTTTCCTAGGACTGAACCAATTATTTACCCAAGACTGGGCCATTAGAAATCAATAAGAGTTAAGACATAAATAAATAAATAAATAAATAAATAAATAAATAATAAAGGATTGTTGGAAGAAAAAGAAAAACCACTGCTCCTGTAGCCTTCTGGCCACTGCAAGCAGATAGGCTGTTGGAAATTTCAAATGTTCTGCAATTTCACTCCGTACTCCAGTTAGGATGGATTTGCCAGTTGGGAATCCCAGCTTTATATAAGCTCAAGAAAGATGATTGAGGATTGATTTGTATATGCATTAGAGCATTTCTTGTGAGTACAGTGGATACGAGTGTGAGCTGGTCAATTCAAAATTGACCTCAGCCAAACTCAGTAGGCTGCTTTAGAAAAGCCTGATGCCATGGGGATGCTGCTGCTCTTTCTTTAAGGTACGATAGAAAAGATTAGGGAGATAATGACTGGAATCCAAGGACTAGCTGGGAATGCAAAAATGTTCTGTGCTAGCTGAGAGGGAATTTGTTTTACTTTAAACAGCTGAACACCATGCTTGCTTTTCAGACTGTTCCCAGTGGGCAGCTATTTTGAGACCTGGGCCTAAAATCTCTGTGAGCTCAGAAAACCAGTTTCATGGTTTTTTGCTTCCTAACTAATTTATGCAAAATATTCAAAGCCCATTAAATGCTAAGCCTTACTTTTAGCAGCCATATTATTTTCAAAATATTTGATAAGAAATAATGCCTTAATCAGCCACAAGGGGGTGGCTTGGCACCATTCTTTCTTTGGAAGAGTTTGCCTTTAAACACACATTTGGGTAATTTGCCTATCAGTCATATTTGGTACTTGGTGGGAATAAATTGTACATCTCTGTAGCCCCTTCAGAAGTTCCTAGCCCACAAAAACTGTTATGCATGCCAGTGTTATTTGTATGTGGCCCTTTGATTTGAGAAGAGGAAAAACGAATAATTTCTTCCATTTTCAAAACTTCTGTTTATTCACCTGTGAATTATTATTACCTGCCTCTCACAAATATCTGTTTACAAGCCTGAATTAAGGTGCAGACAGTTTTAAGAAATTATACTATATATGAATTTACTAAATACATAATATACACAGATTTATATCCCATGCATCCTTTGCTGATAGAAGTACTTTGATCCAGCAGAGGTTTCCAGGAGCAGAACTGGGAGAGAAGCAATTTTCACTGATCCTTCTTCACCCTGCAGTTCTCCACATCTTCTCCACCAGCAGCACAGGGTTGGGAGACCACTCAGAACAGCAAGTGAGGTAATGCAAGTGAGGGGAAATCAGTACAAATTGCCTCTCTCTCCTTTCTAATGAAGATTTAAATCCACTGAGTTCACAGAAAATGTTTTCACCATCAGATTACCATGATGCTCAGTTTTCAGCAGGCATTTAAAAGGTAATTTATTAATTATTTATCTTCATCATTTGCTTTACAATTGCTAGTGCAATAAGAGTTGCTGCTAGGTATTTTTCGAAGGAGTAATAGTATTGTTGTCACCTTTGTTTCTCTGCAAGTAAAATATATAGCTGTCCACATTTCGGGAATAAGCCCTTCTGGAACTCTCATGCATTAGAAGAATTCAGATCACATATGCAAGGGAGCTGGTGGGGACTGGGAACATTCACCCAGGGGTATAACTTTCTTTAGGGTAACCTCTGTGTGCA